AATGACGAATCCGGATGAAGTAAAGGACAAGTTTTATGAAGATCTCGATGCCCTACTCTCATCCGTGAAGCGCACTGACAGGCTGATTCTACTTGGCGATTTCAACGCGAGAGTAGGATCTGATCACACTGCCTGGGATGGCGTCATTGGAAAAAATGGAATCGGTAAATGTAACAGCAATGGCCTACTATTACTGAAGACATGTGCGGCTCATGATTTGATCATCACCAATACCATCTTCCGCCTGCCCACTCGCAAAAAGACGTCCTGGATGCACCCACGCTCTAAGCACTGGCATCTCATTGATTATGTCATTGTGCGGAGGAAAGACAGACAGGATGTAAGGGTGACCAAGGCCATGCCGAGTGCTGACTGTTGGACTGACCACAGACTTATCATCTCCAAATTAAGCTTTCGCATCAAGCCAAAGAGACGTCCGCAGGGAAACAAAGCTGTGATGAAAAAGATCAATGTCAGTAGACTGAGGAACCCCAACACAGCAACTTTACTAGCAGAAGATCTTGGCAACCAACTTTTAGAGCTGCAATTAGAGGAAAATGCTGAGAAGGACTGGGAACGCTTCCGGGATATTGTGCACTCTTCTGCACTAAAGGTTCTTGGACCCTCACACAGGAAACAGCAGGACTGGTTTGATGAAAACGATGAAGAGATCAAGGCCATACTTGCTGAAAAGCATCGCCTTCACCGTGCTCACCAGAATGACCCATCGTCAACAGCTAAGAAAAATGCCTTCAACAACATTCGCAGGATCGTACAGAACAAGCTTCGTAAGATGCAGGACTCCTGGTTGAGTGCCAAAGCAGATGAAATCCAGAAGTTTTCTGATAGAAACGATGCCAAACGGTTCTACGAAGCCCTTAGATCCTTGTATGGACCTCAGCCCTCAGGGAGTTCCCCTCTACTGGACTCAGATGGTGCAACTCTCATTACTGAGAAGGCTCTGATTTTACAGCGTTGGGCTGAGCACTTCCAATCCGTACTGAACCGCCCATCTTCCATCAATAACGAGGCGATTGATAGAATGCCCCAGGCGGATATCAACCACAGCCTGGATGTCTCACCATCAGAGACTGAAACCTTACAGGCCATCAGCCAGCTGTCCAGTGGCAAGGCCCCAGGATCTGATGCGATTCCAGCGGAAGTCTATAAGGGTGGTGGTGCAGTGCTTGTCAACAAACTCACTCAGCTGTTCCAGTCCTTCTGGAATCAAGGATCTATTCCTCAGGAACTGAAAGACGCGTCTATCGTACACCTCTACAAGAGGAAAGGAAATCGACAAGTTTGCGATAATCATAGAGGAATATCACTGCTTTCCATCGCAGGTAAGATCCTTGCACGAGTGTTGCTGAATCGTCTGATTAACCACCTGGAACAGGGTTTATTACCCGAGACACAGTGCGGCTTCCGCAAAGAGCGTGGCACGGTGGATATGATCTTCGCAGCCCGACAGCTTCAAGAGAAGTGTCAAGAGCAGAATCGTGAACTGTACACCACCTTCGTGGATCTCACCAAGGCTTTTGACACTGTCAGTCGCGAAGGTCTGTGGCGCATCATGTCGAAGTTTGGGTGCCCTGACAGATTCATCTTGATGGTACGTCAGTTCCACGACGGCATGACGGCTCGTGTTTTGGATGATGGAGAAGCTTCAGAGGCCTTTCCCGTCACAAACGGCGTCAAGCAAGGGTGTGTGCTGGCACCGACCCTGTTCAGCATAATGTTTTCAGCCATGCTGTCAGACGCCTTTCAGAACAGTTCCTTGGGAATCAGACTGAGATACAGGACCGATGGGAAATTGTTTAACCTGCGAAGACTCCAGGCTGTCACCAAGATAAAAGAGACTGTGTTACGAGATCTCCTTTTTGCTGATGACTGCGCCCTGAATGCTGGATCAGAGCAGGAAATGCAAGCCAGCATGGACAAATTTGCAGCAGCATGCGACAACTTCGGCCTTCTCATCAACACAAAGAAAACCGAAGTGATGCACCAGCCAGCTCCAAAAGCTCAGCATCAAGTGCCCACCATCACAGTGAAGGGACAAAAGCTGCAAGCAGTGGACCAATTTACATATCTTGGCAGCACCCTCTCCCGCTCAGTGACAATTGACATCGAGGTCAACTGCAGAGTCGCCAAGGCAAGCTCTGCGTTCGGCAGACTGTTGACCAAAGTGTGGGACCGCCGTGGAATAAGCCTTGCTACAAAGCTTAAAGTCTATCGAGCAGTAGTGTTAACTACCCTGATGTACGCCAGTGAGACTTGGACTGTATACAGGAGGCACGCTAGGCAACTGAACCACTTCCATACGATTTGCCTCCGCAGACTTCTGAGGATCCGGTGGCAGGATAAGGTGCCAGACACAGAATTCCTTTCTAGAGCAGGTCTGCCGTCAGTTTACACCCTGCTGATGAAAGCTCAGACACGCTGGGCAGGCCATGTTGCAAGGATGCCAGATCATCGCATCCCTAAACAGCTCTTCTATGGTGAGCTGTTTCAAGGGAAGCGATCGCACGGGGGACAAAAGAAGCGATACAAAGATACGCTTAAAGCCTCTCTCAAGTCCCTGGATATTGACACCACCTCCTGGGAGACCCTGGCACAAGACCGATCAACATGGCACACGCTGATCTACCAAGGCTGTCAAACATCTGAAGCCAGAAGGACAACCATAGCACAAGAGAAGCGAGCACTCCGTAAAGCCAGAGTTGCAAAAGCTGCAACAGTGGTGCCCACACATGTCTGCCCGACCTGTGGTAGAACATTCCGTGCCCGTATCGGCCTTATCAGCCATTTGCGGACACACCATGAACAGTCCATAACCTGTTAGATGTCAAGGTCCTCTTCGAATACGATGGACGAACAACAACAACAACAATATAAATTACTCTTTTTATATGCTTGACCTTAATATTCATCACTGAAAGACATCTTTTTTAGAGCTCTTTAACAACAACATTTGATTGGTCAGAGGGCTCACTCACTACAAAGCAAAGCATATTGAGGCAGTTTGGTCCCTACAAGACTCTGCTGAAAGTAGGAAAGGACCAGTCACAGAAGCTGAGTCTAGCTTCTTTATAAGATAATGCCCTGCAGAGCATTATTCAAAAGGTCCCAGACCCTTATTCATGCAAAAGAGTTAATCTCCAATGACCTGATGGGATATAAAATGGTCTGAAAGGAAGAACTTAATAAAAACATTTTATATTTTTAATATTGTTTCAATTTGCGAGCCCTTCCCCTTGAGCTTTGTCGTTTTTAATTTTTTATCGACATAATCCTAATTTAGGATTTCCCCTTCAAGACAGTTCAAACATAAAAGACATGTAAAAATAAGATGCCCTCCATTAATAGTATGGAATTGTGTTAAGAATAGGCCGTATCACATATACAATTCTAGTAATGGAGTCAGGGAATGCAATTGATGACATCTTATTTTTAATCTAATAATCGGCCTTGAAATACTAGAGGTGCTCTGCTTGGCAGTTTTTCAAACTGTTTTGCTTTTTTCCCCCCACTGAGGCACTTAAAAACATTAATTTTACCAACTCTCTACATTCCTCCTGTCCAGAAGAGGTACAGAAAGCTTTTGCCACTGTTTTTAGAAACAAAATAAAAATAGAGCCACAGTTTACATTGTTCAATTAGATGATCAGATTAACAGTATCAAGACAGTAATCATGGGTAGTCAACAGAAAGGTTTGCCTTGAGCGAATTGGGTCATGGGCCAAAGAGTTTGAGAACCATGGGTGTAGACTAGGCCTCGGATTTCTCCTTGTGTCCCTTGTCTTCACTTATCAATGTTCTATAATTATTAATTACTGATTTTTAGTCATTATTACTACCTTTCTTTTTAATTTATATTTTACAGCTGCCACCGTCCTTCTAAACCAAGTTGTATTTGTTTTCCTTAATTGTGGGATTGTGACATTTTGGGTAATAATAGTCTGTTCTTAAATTATTCCCAATTATTGTTCACATTTCTAATTTAATTCAACTGCTTTTGGGACTGCCCCTGTTAAGGAACCAAGTTATATACAGGTCTGGACATTATTCTGCTTGAATATTGTAAATGTGATCAAGTCATAATCTCTTGTACCTAAGGTACCTTGACTTTTAGTTCTGTGATCAGTTCCTCCCGAGTATCTATGGAGCACCTTAACCATAAGACTATCTTTCCTCTGAATTGTGTGGACACTCTGGGGCCAAGTCTACATTGCACAGTCTTGCGCAAGAAGATATGTAAATGAGATCAACGATGAATATTGCTGTGCCTCATTTGCATACCTAATGAGCCACCATTTTTGCATAAGGGGCTTTTGCGCAAGAAGGAACAGTCTACACTTGCAAGACAGACCTTTCAGTTCTTCTCTGCAGACAGACATTTCAGTTTCATACTGTTTGTTGAAATAGGATTTAAAGTTTAAGGAAACTTGGGAATTCACTCTTGGTTACAGGTGCAGTGAATCAACAACAGTGACTGTTACATCTGCCAGATTTAGTAGGGCATGTAGGCTTTATCAGTCTGCCCTTCAGGCAGAAGGACCTTCTTTTTAAAAGGTTTTAAAGAGACTTCAGAAGATTTGACATTTCTACTATAAGGCACCAAAAATAGTACTGTTAATTAGATTAAATTAAGAGTTAAATCTTCTTAGATACATCATCTTCCTCTCTTGATATATTTCCAATTAATTTGTGGAAATATGCTTTGTACGTCTTTGTCCACATTTAACAAATATGTGTATTTATTCTAATGATTATCATGATAATACAGTCATGAGATAGGGGCAACAGGTCTCATCATTCATGTGCATTCTAGCCAAGCTCATCTGCCTTTTTGGGGGTTTCCTAAGCAAGGTTTTAGCAATGAAGAATTGGTGCTGTGGTGCACTTACTATAACCCTGTTTAAAGGCACAAGGATTCCAAATTCCCTCTTCAGGATTCAAAACGCCTTGGGTAAATAGCAATGCTGTTCATGTCTTTCCAGGTCTCAATGGGGATGATTTCCTGGTGCTAGGCTTGTGGAATGGCAGTGTGGTGTACAGCTACAACCTGGGCTCTGGCACAGCCACTCTCATTAGTCAGCCACTTGATCTGACACTCAGCACTCATGTGATCCATCTTGGTAGATCTCTCCGAACAGGCTGGTTGAAGGTAAGGCAACATACCTATTTTTGAAAGACAACTATTGAATTGAAAGGGTTTGGTTTTATTTTCCCTAAAGTACAGTATGATCTCTGTCATACCATCAAAAGAAACTGTTAAATAGCTACAGGAAAATAAAAGTTTTAAAAATTGGTTTATTCCTCTGTTTCTTTTTCTATTAATATAATTGGGAATCTTTTGTTGAAACACACCCATTCGGAATAATTTCTTTTGTTGTAAATTGTGTAAATGTTTTTATTGAAAGGTGGACGATCACAAGAATAAATCTGTCACAGCTCCTGGAAAGTTGGTTGGGCTCAATGTCTTCAGTCAATTTTATGTAGGTGGTTACATTGAATACACACCTGAACTCCTCCCAAATGGATCCAAATTTGAGAATGGCTTTCTAGGTAAGGACCTTTTTTAAAAAAAAAACCAACTTGCTAATACCATTTGCATCATAATATTTTAATTTCTATAAAATAATTGTGTAAAATCATTTTTAAAAAGTTTCTTCATATTATATATATTTATTTTCATTTTGTACAGATTACTAAGAAGCATGATGCTCGTAGAATGTTCCCAGTGCTACTAGTATTTTGGTCACGATTAACTGTTATATTTGTTTTAGTAAATTGGAATACACATACAAGTTACATATGTGCCTATAATGTAGAAGCATATGGCTCCTTCAGATCCTAACGTGCCATTTGCACCACTATAAATTTAATTCAGAATGGAGTGAGATATATCCAGTCAAAAGAAACCAGTCTTCTCAAGAACCTGCCTATTTTATTACCTACTATGAATATATTGTAGCGGGTTCGACTCACTTTCCGCACGGCTCTTCCCTCAGGGTGGCTTTGGGGAAGTAGCTAGCTGCTCTGACGCGCCCCTTTTGGGTGTGATGTTCTCTTCGGGGCACTGCCCTCCGGCAGTGACCACTCGGTCTTGGTCTGCGCCCCCTTCTGGGGGGAGGGGGGGAATCATTGTTCTTCCTCCGCTCCTCCTCCAGGGTCCTCCATACTTCCTAGGACCCCCAGTTCTTCTCCCATTCTGCCTGCCCGGCTGCCTCCTGCAACCCTGCCTGGCGGACTTATGGCCTGGGGCTTCCCTGACTCAAACTCCCCAGCCTACCTCAGCTGCCTCCTTGCAGCCCGGACTTTTAGGGCTGCCTCCATGCGAGCCCCGCTCTCCGTGACTCCCTCCTTGCAGCCCTGGTCCTCAGGCCGGGTAGCCTGGGTTTGCTAGGCCAAAGACTCTCTCATTACAGGCAGGTCTCCCTCCTCCTCCCAGGAGCTGCTCTATATGGCCTCCAGCTGGGCCCTCATTAGCTGCCTCAGCTAGGCTTCCTACTGCCTCTAGATCTCAGCCCCTTAAAGGGCCAGTACAGGGCAATGCCCTGCCACAATATGTATTTGGTGATCCTGGCAGCCACCACTTAAAGAAACACCAGGAGACAGCAAAACATGTCACTTGTGCAGCATCTTTATCTTCCCGGTAGAACACAAATCATTTTAGACAGTGCAAGTGCTGAGGTGTTGTTTTGCCATGCAATATCAGAAAACAGGATTCCAATCCTGTTTGCTGACCATTTCACAATATTTATCAAGATGATGTACCCAATTCAGCAACTGAAAAATAGTTGTCCTCTGGAAGAATAAAAAATCATATTTCTCATCAGTGCTCTGCCTTTGAGACACAGAATTTTTCCCTCTGGAAGAATAAAAAATCATATTTCACATCAATGCTCTGCCTTTGAGGCACAGAATTTTTGGAGTGAATTATGCCAGATTGAGATCTTTCTCTGTTTTGGAGCTTCAGGGGGTAGCCGAGTTAGTCTGTTACCGAAAAAAACAGCAAATGGTCATCTACATGTTTTGTTAGTCTTTAAAATGCTACCAGACCATTTGTAGTTTTTTTCTCTGTTTTGTTGGTTGAAAGTAACGAGACTGTCAGTGACAGGAGAACTAAATCAACATTCAACGTTTGGTGAAGCTACAAGAATTCTGAAAAATAATTTTCTTTCAAAGGCTGCTACACTGAAAATACCCAAAACCTTTTTGACTTCCTGAATAGAGCTCTTGTTGACGTCTACGTTTTCTTGAAAAATGCTATTGGATTTCTCTCTGACTTGCGAAGCGCAAAGGTTAGGAAATACGATTCTTAGTTAACTTTCCATGTGTGTCATATGTACTGCACTTAGCAAAGGCTGCTGTCAGAGGCCTTCTCAGGTCCGTGGAAGACATTTTGACAGGCAACCTTTGCTACTTCTTTGGCAGTGTAAAGGAAAAGGAGCATTGTGAATGCAAGAATGGTGCAGAGCAGATGATCAGTCCTTGATGAAACAAGGTAAAACTAAATGACCTCATCTTCAATATGTTCTTTGGTGCAGTAACTGGTGGGAATTGCTTCCGGCTTATTTCAACAACTCTGAAAATAAAAAGCAGAGTACAAAGTATAAGAGAAAAGGATATGCAGTTCCTTTTATTCTTCCACGGTGTGCAGCATATGCTGATTTCTTTCAGTCAGAAGTTTCCAGGATGGTCAATCTGTGGGAGAAGAACATGGTTGTGGGTTTGCTTGTTTGTTTTCCTGAGAATTCTCCTGAATAAAGACAGAGTCAGTGAACAAGACTGCATGCAGACACCACCCAGCCTGAGTTTCAGAAAAACACCATAGGAGAGATAGCAAATTGGTTTCAAGTCCAAACACTTCATTTCAGCTAATCTCAAGTGGACTGTCCTGAACTAGAAGGATTTTATCAGGGAGGCAGGAAATTCTATTCTGCAGCAGTAGATAAATCACTAAAGAAACTGCTGCTGAAGGACAAATTGTTACAAGGTATGAGTGGGGTTGCTTCATCCTTTAAACAAAGAGACTCGATATTAGAATACTGTTCTCTGACTGAATAGTTACCCTATTTTGATCCCTCAGATGAGGAAAAAAAGAAGATTTGCAATCAATCGGCCAGATATCATGTAGATTTCAATTTACCTGAGGCTAAACCAAGATAAAGCAAATCAGAGGTTTGATGAGGCAATCACTGCTTTGAAAAGAGATGGCTCACAAAGACAGAGATACTCACTGCTTCCTAAGGTTATCATGGCTTTTCTAAGTCTACTATGGGATCATGTCAGCACTGACATAAAAATAAATCTTTAACCTAAATCTTCTTGGTTGCAGCCCATTACAATGTACAACCCATCTTGGAAAATGATCCCCCAGAGACCTTAGGAGAAAAACCTATTTCTGCTTACAGACAGCCCCCTAACCTGAAACACATTCTTTCCGATAACCATGCCACACAACCACATCATAAGCCTCCAGGAACCCAGCTGTGCAACCAAAAAAGATGCCAACTCTGGCCACATATCTACACTGACAAATTCATCACTGGAGCAAACAACATAAATCAAAAGGTAATTTGACTGCACATCTAGTAATTTGATCTATGCCATCAAATGCCAGCAGTGCCCCACTGCTATATATATTGGACAAACTGGACAGTCTCTACGGGAAAGAATCAATGGACACAAATCGGATATACGTAAAGGGAACACACAAAAGCCTGTTGGTGAACATTTCTGCTTACCTAACCATACCTTAACAGACCTGCAGGTGGCTGTCTTGTCACAGGCCAGCTCCACAAGCCAAATACATAGGGAAGGATTAGAATCTCACTTCATGCAGAAATTCAATTCACATGCTAATGGACTCAATCGTGATATGGGCTGGTTAGGACACTACCTACTTCATAACCACTGAAGGTGCTAACAGCTCTGAGAGTGGTATCCTTCCTGTCTTAGCATCTATCTATCTACTTTGATCTGCTTAGGTTTAAGTACCCATTCTCCAGATACTTAATGATGCTCATACCCCCCTTCCTTTTTCTCTCCCCTCTCCTATTTATTTCGAGTTTTCATATCCCCTACTCATAACTCCAGTCAGCTGAAGAAGTGGGCTGTGCCCACAAAAGCTCATGATACCATCTACATGTTTTGTTAGTCTATGAAGTACTACCATACCATTTGTTGTTTTTTTTTCAAGTTATAACAGACCTTAACATATCATATGTTATCAGGTCCTCTGCCCTAAGTCTTCTTTATTCAAGACAAACTAGTTTTTTTTAAATCTTCTCTCATAGATTAGGTTTTCTAAACCTTTTATCATTTTCATTGCTATCCTCTGGACTCCAAATTTGTCCACATCTTTTCCAACATGTCCCAACCAAAATTGGACATAGAATCGTAGAACAGGGAGGGACTTCAAGAGGTCATCAAATCCACTCCTCTGCACTCATGGCAGGCCCAAGCAGACCATCCCTGACAAATTTTTGTCTAACAGGCTCTTAATAATCTCCAATGATGAAGATTCCACAACCTCCCTAGCAATTTATTACAGTGCTTAACCACCTTGACAGTTAAGAAATTTTTCCTATTCTCCAACCTTCCTTGCTTCAATTTAAGTCCATTGTTTATTGTCCTATCATCAGAAGTTAAGGAGAACAATTTTTTTCTCCTCCTTATAACAACCTATTATTTCCCAAAAACTGTCCCTCTTGATATTCTCTCTTCCAGACTAAATAACCTCAGTTCCTCAATCTTTCCTCATAGGTCATGTTTAATCGCTTTTGTTGCTCTTCTCTGGACTTTTTTCAATTTGTTCACACCTTTCCTGAAATGTCATGCCCAGAACTGGACACAATACTCCAGTTGAGGCCTAATCAGCACAGAGTAGAGTGGAAGAATTACTCTGCATTTTTACTTACTCCTGCTAATCCTTAGTCCTACTGAGGTCTCACCACTGCCAAGTGCAGTCAGACAATTACTTTCCATGTTTTACATACAACACTCCTCTTAATACACCCCAAAATGATATTAGCCAAGGGGTCGACAACCTTTGGCACATGGGCCATCAGGATAATCTATTGGCAGGTCACAAGAAATTTTGTTTACACTTATTGTCTGCAAGTGCTCCCTCTCCCAGCTCCTAGTGGCTGTGGTTCAACATTCCCAGCCAATGGGAGCTGCAGGAAGTGACCCAGGCTTCAGAGGTGAGCTGGCCACTACTTCCCGCAGTTTCATTGTCTTGAAATGGCCACTGGGAGCTGCAGGGATCCATGTCTGAAGATAGTTAATGTCTCGTGGCCCATCACTGATCACCTTGATAGGCCACATGCCAAAGGTTGCCAATCCCTATATTACCCTTATTTGCAACTGCATCATATTTTTTATTCAGTTTCAATTTATGATCCACTAGAACCCCTCAGATCTTTTTAAGCAGTTCTAATGCTTAAATCATTTACTCACCATTTTATAGCTCTGCGTTTGATTTTTCTATCCTAAGTGATGCTCTTTGAACTTGTCTTAAATGCATTTCATCCTGTTGATGCTAGACTAATTTTCTG